AGCCAGTCAGGTTGCGCCGTGATCCATGCGCGCACCTCCAGCGACCGCTCCTGAAGAAGGCTTAGGGTTTAGGGTTTAGGGTTTAGGGCTTAGGGTTTAGGGTTTAGGGTTTGGTGTTTGGGGTTTGGGGTATAGGGAAGCTTCTGCCACTGCTGATTCCGGAAGGGCAACGCTCCACCAACGCCGATAACGCTTGCCACTCGACAGGACTCCATTTTCAGTCGCTCTTGGATCTCTGACGCACCAAAAGGCTCGGCTGGGACAGCGCGTCCGCCAAGAAATGGGAGAGACGAGCGCAAATATTCCTGTGGCTCTCTGCTTCGCAAGCTGCGGCTGCGTCAAGACTCTCAGGCAGCTTTGCTGCAGCAAAGAATGGGGTGGACACTGCGTGACCGAGGTTGACCGAAAGTAAGGGCCCTGTTTTGCGGGACCCTAAGCCACAAGGAATGTACTACAGGTATAGCAGAGTCCCCCAAAAGGGGTCCATAGGACTGGCATACAAAGAATACCTCCCAAACTTAGCACGGCTCTTGATCCTGGACAGGAACGCTGAGTCTTCCCAAGAACCTCAACTGAAGCTCTCAGCAATGCAAGAACCCAAGGGCAGAATTCCTGCACATATCGCAATAACCACGGTAGGTTGGGAGGCTCTGCGAAAAGGTGCCCTTTCTGGCTTTACAATTGTACAGGAATTGTTGGTGAAAAGGGTCAATATTGATGTCAGGCTGATAGCATGATCGGTCTTCGTCCTGCTTTTCGCCATTCACTCCTAGAGGGCCGGGGAGACTTTGTAAGTAAACTTATAACCCCTACAAAGCATGAAGAAGCAACGACTTGCTAAGTCCACCTGACCCGAAACCCTAAAAATCCTAAACCCTAAAACCCTAAAACCCCAAACCCTAAACCCTAAACCCTATAGGACCCTACATAACCCTGTATAATCCCTCCGAGCCGGCCTGTGACAATGCCCAACATGGCTGCCCAACACTTCCTCGGCACTGTAGGGCAAACCCAACAGTCTCTCTGGGTCCCAGGGCCATCTCGGAAAATGTCCGTTCTGAAACGGACGGAAAAGATTCTAAATAGGGTTATAGGTGCTAGAATCTAACATTGCAAGGGAGAAAGGAGGGTTTAGGGCTTATATATAGGGTTTGGGGTTTGGGGTTTGGGGTTTGGGGTTTGGGGTTTGGGTTTAGGGTTTAGGGTTTAGGGTTTAGGGTTTGCCTGAAAATGCTCTACGCCATATGTATGCTCCAAAGCTAGAAGAAGCCGGTGCAGGGCCTGGGCTTTATGGCAACGAGTGACGGCGATGCGTCTCGTGTTGCGTGACAGCTTGGGGCTTAGGGTTTCGGTTTAGGGTTTAGGGTCGAAAGCCAGGGCATCGGGAGACTTTAACTTGACAACAAGCTGCATGTCTGTTGCAATCAGCTCCATACAAGTTCAGGGGTTGAAAGCTGAATGTGTACTGCAGTGTACTGCAGCACACAACCGCACCATGGTAGCACCGTTGCAGCAGCTGTTGAAGTCGCGAAGCTGAGGCAGGAAGTGCAAAATCCAGTGGGCTACTTCGAATCGCCATGGAGGACATGCCCCATGCGGTGCTTGTCGTTCTCCTGCGCTTAGGGCTTATGAGATACAGGGCGTACAGGGCATATGTTGGGGGTCCGAAACAATATCGACTAGCGACCCTGAAAAGATTTGGCAGCGTTGTTCCTGGAGGCCCTTCGTTGCCCCTTCCCCACTGCAACCAGGCTCCCACTAGCCTCCTCGCCCTTTCGGGCAGAGGGGGTTTCGAGGAGATATGAATAGATTCTCGGAGAAAAGGACGGAAACGAATTCTGACAGGGGTACATTTGAAAGGTCGCCCTCTTACGAGCGAAATTGCTTGGAAAATGTGGAATGCAATGCGACGTAGTATGGGGGCAGGTCGAGTTTCTTCGTTTCCTATTTGGGCTTCAGGTGCGAGCTTCGCGTGGATTGAAAGGAGGCCGGGAGTGCGCAAAAAACGGAAGGAGCATTTCTGAGCATCGGGAGTGATGGTTTTGGGAGAATTTCCCCAAAGGAGCTTGACATGTTTTGACAAGGCAACATGGGGGCAACAAGGCCGGCGCCCCCAAGAAAACTAACATGAAACATGAGGGTGGCTATGCTACGCAAAGGGAGGGTAAAACCAATCCAAAGTGTTCTCCGCCGGGTCTTGCGCCAGCCGCTGGAGGATTTCCAAGTATGAGAACACCAAACCTTGACAAAGCCTACTTGGAGGTGATGGCACACAAAGTGTACATGCCACCCTCCCTTGCTTGGGACCCAGTGAACCCTGACAGGGTTTATGGCTCATATACCCTAAACCCTAAACCCTAAGCCTAAACCCCAAACCATAACCGGAAATATACTACTAGTTTTTAGGGTATATGACCCCAGAGGTTCATCTGGTCACCCGGGTTCTTACTACAGCTACTCGTACCCCATGCTCTCTCTCTCTCTCTCTCAGAACACAGCACGTCGGACCTTCGCCCCATGCAGCCAAACAAGATCATCCCCGACAGCCCTGGCTCCTCCTGTGTGTTTCGTCTGCAGAACGTGCGCACAAAGTTCCGAAGTCTCCGAAGCTTCTGAGGCTTGCTGCGATGCCTCAAGTCGAAGCGCGCTGGTGCTCGCTGCCCGTGCAGGCGCGACGTGGGCCGGCTGCTTGCGCAACTCCATGGACTTTCCAGATAGCCAGGGCTCACAGGCCAGGCCCAAATGAGTCGGCTTCGTGCCGGCGCACCTCAAGGAGCTGAGCACAAAGAGCGCAAGTTGGGGAAACAGAGGGAGGTTCAATGCCCTTTGCTTCTTTCCTTTGTGTTTTTTGCTTTTTTTGGGGGGGGAGGGGGGAGGGTGGGAGGGTGGGCGAAGGGGAGTATGACAGTTCGGGGTGTAGGGTTTAGAGGTTTAGTTAGGGTTTAGGGTACAGGTGGTACAACTCATTTGGGTATGTTTGGGAAATACATGTCCTCCACATGGGCGTACTTAGAAGTAGGGTTGTAAGTGTCCTAAATTAGGTTGCAAGAGTTGCCCTAGTTCTAACCTTACCGATAAGTACCCATGAACCTCCGAGTATAAGCCCCCTTATAAACCCCACACGTCATCGTTGGAGGCAACACCACATGAGCACCTCTGAACGGTCTAAACCCCTTAACCTCCAAATTATATAAACCCTTTTCTTCATGCAAATCAATATACATATACATATGCATATACATGTATATCTATATATATATACACACATATATATATATATCATACATACATACATACATACATACATACATACATACATACATACATACATACATACATACATACATACATACATACATACATACATACGTACGTACGTACGTACATACATACATACATACATACATATATATATATATATATATACAGAAAAAAGAATATATATATATATATACATATAAAGCCGACGAAAACACACGAACCAAAAATCTCTCCCCCCCCCCAAAATATATATATATATATATATAATATATATACACAACAACACAACAACACAACACCACAACAAACAACAACAACAACACAACAACAACACAAACAACAACAACAACAACAACCAACAACAACACAACAACAATGCACCCTAAATCCTAAACCCTAAGCCCAAACACCCCCCCCCCCCCCCCCAAAAAAAAAAAAAAAAAAAACACTCTCCTTTGCCAGCCCCTGGGGCCTCCTCCGCCAGGACGCTGCGGCCCGCATCCTGCTCCGCACCTTTCGAAGCTCCCTTGGAGCCTGGGGCCGGGTTTGGGGTTTGGGGTTTAGGGTTTGGGGTTTGGGGTTTAGGGTTTAGGGTTTGGGGTTTAGGGTTTAGGGTTTTTGTTCTGGGGTGTAGGGTTCCGGTTTAGGGTTTGGGGTTTAAGGTTTAGGGTTTCTCAACAACCGGCGAAGTCCAAAACGAGGCGAGCCAGGGGGCCTTTCGAGCGCGTGGGGCCCTGATAGAAGATGAAGTCCTCGTGCGGCCGCACACTTCGGGGCTCTTGTTAAGCGACTTCAACTGAGTAAGTTGCCACAAAAAAGGATACTACTTACTGCCTAACGCTGTCGTGTTAGCTTCATTTCAGTCGCTAACATTTTGAACCTAGAGTGTTCCTTGCGTTTTTCGACTTTCCAGGCCTGTGGCGGTCTTTTCCGCATGCGATTTTTGTTTTGTTAAACCCTAAACCCTAAACCCTCGACCCTAAACCCTAAACCCTGAACCCTAAACCCTAAACCCTATAAACCCAAACCCCAACACTTGTTCTGCAACGGCGTCCTCGGTCTCCGCGCGGAACTCTTGCCGCGTCACGAGCTTCGCCAAGAGTCCGCCACCCAACCGCAGCCACTCGTGGCCAGTTCGGGAGACCATCTCCTCTTGTTTGGTAGTGAGTTTCGGCTTTTGGGGCTTAGGGTTAAGGTTTAGGGTTTAGGGTTCAGGGTTCAGGGTTCAGGGTTTAATGTTGATAATTATGGTTGTTATGATGATGATGATGATGATGATGGTGATGATGATGATGATGAGTGTGATGATGATGATGATGATGATGATGATTCTTTCACGATTGGTATTGTAAGTAATGCTATATTCTGGAAATTCTGTTTATGCATTGTTGGAGAGGTCGGGGGGGGCAACAAGCGTGTTGTCCTAACTCTGCCGCCAAAGCTCTGGGTGCTTGCGACGCACTTCCAGTACCTGCCTGCCGCGGAGCATACCCTTAACCCTAAACCCTATAAACCCTAAACCCTAAACCCTACACCCTAGACTCTACACCCTAAACCCTAAACCCTAAACCCTAAACCCTAAACCCTAAACCCTAAACCCTGAGGAACTGTTGGGATTGAGGCCTTGGGTGTGAAGCTTCTCGCTTTTGGGCCCTGCTCTTTCGCTCTCATCACTCCTCCTCACTCTCTCCCCCTCCTCCTGGGTTCTTCTACGAAGGACTGAACCCCCAAACCCCTCCCCGAAGCCCCTAAACCCTGAACGCCGCAACCTCCGACCTGCCAAAACCCCTAAACCCCGAACCCCTAAACCCCTAAATCCCCCCTAAGCTCCTACACCCCTGAAGCACCCCTTAACCCCCCCAAGCCACAGCCCCTAAACCTAAACCCTAAACCCTAAACCCCCCTCAAGCCGCCTGCAGTGCGCCCGGCGCGCTGTGTCCAGGTCCCGCAGGAGGGGCTCGGGAGGCGCCAGGGCCCGGCGAAGGCCCAGAGGCAACTCCCAGGGCCTTCGACGTTTTCAGTGTTTTTGGTTTTTTAACGTTAAAAAACCCGCATTTAGGGTTTAGGGTTTTTTAACGTTAAAAAAACCCGCATTTAGGGTTTAGGGTTTTTTAACGTTTTCAGTGTTTTTGTGGTTCTTTTTGGGGGGGCCCCGGGTTTCGGGTTTCGGGTTTAGGGTCAACCGAATGCTTTCTGCGGCTACGACGTGGGCTGCCACCCTAAACCCTAAACCCTAAACCCTAAACCCTAAACCCTAAACCCTACACCCTGGCTGCCTGTGGATGTATTCTGTGGGGCAGCTGGCCAGGAACGGCAGCCAGCGGCGGACGTAGTGGCCGTCAGGGTCGCAGCTCTTGGCCGCATTCACCTCAAGCCAACCACCCGGAAAAAATTATCCCCCCCAAAAAGATGTATATACATACATACATACACACACATATATATATATATATACATATGTATGTATATATGTATGGTCGTTTCTCTACATAAGGGTCCTTTTTTGTGGGCCCTTATAGTGAGGCGGTACCCAACAAAAGGACCATCATTTTGAGAACTGGTCACATGTATAAGTATATATTTATTTATTTATTTATATATTCATATGTATATTTATATTTACTATTTATATTTATATTTATTTACAGTTAAATTTATATTGATTTTTATTTATATATTTATGTTTTTATTTATATTAAAATTTGTTTGTATTTTTGTATTTCTATTTATATTCGTATTTATATTTATACACCCTTGTGTAGCTTCAAATGGTTCGCACCTTGAGTCTCAAGCCATGATGGGCAAAATTCGGGTTTTGGGGTTTCTTGGGTTTACGTAGGGCTTATCGGGCGTATAGCGTTTAATAGGGCTTATAGGGCTTAAATAGGTTAGATGGGGTTTTTGGGCTTGTAGGGCTCATAGGGCTTCTAGGGCTTGTAGGGCTTTTGCGGCTTATGGGGCCTGGGGCGGTGTAGTGTTCAGCGACTGAGCCCTGAATGCGTGGAGAGTCGCTGGGTGAAGCACGAACTCCCAGTGATCCGGACCCGAGTGCCCACCGTTTTGCCACCTTGGGGGAGCCAAAGGAAAACTAAAAGCACGATCATGCGCCCCACACACCCTATACACCCTAAGCCCGATACACCCTATACACCCGAAAAAAGGCGATTTTTGGCGATTTTTGGCGATTTTGGGAAAAAACATCTAAAATTGCCCGACACCCTATATACTATACACCCTATACACCCTATACACCCTAAACACCCTGAACACCCTAAACACCCTAAACCCTACACACTAACTGAAGGCGTCACACACCCTAAATACCGTTAGGCCACATGAAGCTGTTGATGGCGACATCGATGTCCACGAGGGTCCAATCAAACCAAGCCTGGGCGTAGATTTTGGGTTCAGGGTTTAGGGTTTATAGGGCTTGGGTTTAGGGTTTAGGGTTTAGGGTTTTTAGGGTTTTTAGGGTTTTTAGGGTTTTTAGGGTTTTTGGGGTTTTTGGGGTTTTTAGGGTTTTTAGGGCTTTTAGGGCTTTTAGGGCTTTTAGGGTTAGGGTTTTTAGGGGCTTTAGGGTTTTTAGGGTTTTTAGGGTTTTTAGGGTTTTTAGGGTTTTTAGGGTGTTTAGGGTTTTTAGGGTTTTTAGGGTTTTTAGGGGTTTTTAGGGTTTTTAGGGTTTTTAGGGTTTAGGGTTTAGGGTGCAGGGTTTAGGGTTTAGGCGGACCTTGGGGGGCCAAAAAAAGCCTCACGGGCTGTATGGTTCCATCTTCGGGTTCAGGGTTTAGGGGTTTAGGGTTACATTCATACAGGGAATTGTCAGAGGCACATAGGGCGGGTGCATGATACTTTGATATAGGGAGCTCAGGTAGCTACGCAGAGACGTCTGGGAATGACAGCTAGGATGGCCCCGTAAAGACCCTCTGAAAAAATGCTCCTCGATACCATCCTCCATCCTCAAACCCAATCAGGGAGAGCACAGACTATCACCCTAAACCCTAAACCCTAAACCCTAAACCCTAAACCCTAAACCCTAAACCCTAAACCCCAAACCCCATCATGGAGAAGGTAAGGTATCTGCCTACTCGTCCCAGCCGCCAGGCCATGCTTCCAGCTGAGGTCCAGGTACTCGATCAGGAACTGGGCCACCACCTCTTGGCAACCATGTTCGGGTTTAGGGTTTAGGGTTTCGGGTTTAGGGTTTAGGGTTTAGGGTTTAGGGTTTAGGGTTTAGGGTTTAGGGTTTAGGGTTTAGGGTTTGGGGTATAAGGATGCCCCTTTCTTTTTTTTTGGGGGGGGGGGGGGGTGGTTGCTCTGAGCGGCGTGTTGAGTTGAGGGCCTTCGAGGCACTGAACAAAAAAACACCAGTTCCCCCAAATCCCAAAAAACACTCAACGCTAGCAATCCCCAAAACCGCAACCCCCAAAACATCCCTCAACCCCAAACCCTCTTGACCCCAACTCCCACGTCCCAGCAGCATGGGAGTTTAGGAAAATAGGGGGACCCCAAATATAGACCCCCAAATAGTAGGACTCCCGTATCATAACATAGAAGACCCCAAGAAGGTAACCCCCCCGATTTCGGACACCCCGCATGGCGCAGGTAGTTGGGCATCCAGCCAACGGCCCAGAGCTGGCACATGGCCGCGTCCACCAGGGGGAAGCCGGTGGAACCTCGGTTTAGGGTTTAGGGTTTAGGGTTTAGGGTTTAGGGTTTAGGGTTTAGGGCTTTTCAAGAGCTGTTGCAGGCCCTCTCGTAGGCCCTTTAATAGCCCTTTTGGGGGCCTGCAGGGCCTTTAGGGGTTCGGCGGTGTTCATAGCAAGGCTTGCCGCAGAATGTTCCCTGGCACGGCCGAGTCCACAGTCAAGTGCAGGCTTCTTTTCTCTGTGAGAGCGGGTCGGATATTTTCGCAGACCGCTCCATACGGCCCCCGCGCGCTTGCGAGGACTTTTTGTGACAAAGTCTCTTGTCGCTCACATGCTGGACAGCACGGTCTTGGCTTGCACCAGGTTCTCCTTCTCCTCGGCACGGGCCTGGGCGCGGAGGTCGAAGTTCTTCAGGAGCCAGTCACACTCCTTGTGCAAGTTGCCCACGACCTGCTCCACCACGCTGGCCTCCTTCTTCTTGTTCGCGAGCTCGCTCTTGTCATCGCTGAGGTCTGTCTCAAGGTCGGCCTTCGTCTTGGCCTTCTCCTGCGCCAAGGTCACATCCGCCTCGCGCTTCTCGGCCGCGTCGGCCAAGGTCTTCTCGTAGTCCTTCTGGGAGGTGGCCTTGGTAGCCCCCTTTCTTGGGTTGGTTACTTTTTAGTATAAGGGAACCTTAGAAAAAGGGAAAACGGTACCACTCGGCTACTAAGTGGCCTCGTCAGACTTGGCCAGGGCCATTTCTTGCTCGATGTCCGCCTCCGGAAGGAACTGGGGGGGAACTTTGCCTAGCCTAACACACACAGTACTCACTAGCTCTCAGGACGAAATCCATGACAATGAGTTGTGTACCTTCCACCCCCCCCCCCTTTGTGATCCTAGCTCCTACCACGAGAGGGTGCTGGGATGGTGGCGGATGGGTGGTGCAGGCCTTCAGCTGGGCGATCATGGAGAAGACGCCGTGGCTCTCCTTGGTAGCCCAGCAACCCTATTATAACAAGGGGCACCCTTTTTGGGGTTGGCTATTTTATAAGGGAACCCAATAACCAAAAAAAGAAAAGGGTAAAGGGTACCACTGGGCCACCGAGTCTCAGACATCTTGGACTGGTAGCCCCCGTCGAATGTGTCCGGAGGCGCCTCAACCTTTCGGCTGGAGGCCTGAAGGAAGGCGTACCTTGGCTGCTGAGTTCAGAAGCCCCCAAAAAAGTGTGCACTTTCAGTTCTATAGGGGATTCTAGGGGATTCTAGGATCCCACAAAGTGTAAAGTGTATACTCACTCAGCTACTAAGGTACGGGTCGAAAGGGTTCTTGGTGGTGGTGTCCACAAACTGGCTTGGGTTGTAGAACTGGTTCAGGCGGTTCTTGGCTAAATCCAAAAGCTGCACCGCCTGGCTGTTGGAGGCAATGAGCTCCTGATCCACACAGGCGCGTGAAACCTCTCTTCATGGGTTCCCCTACTACCCCCCCTCTCTACTACCTAAATTCCCCCCCCCCCCCCTTATTGGTTCCCCCCCATAATTCAGGCTACTTAGGGACAGTTAAGCCTACTTGATTGGGATGTTCCCCCTTATACTCACGGTTGTTAGTCGGGATTTTAAGAAGGGGGTACGTATAAGGGGTAGCATCCAAGGGTTCCCCTACTACCCCCCTTTGGTTCCCCCCCCCCCCTAAACTCAGGCTACTTAGGGACAATTCATCCGCATTAAGGACTGTTAGCGTACGGGGTAACATCCCAACTAATTAAGGTTCTTTGGGCTACTGACTGCAGGAGAGCGCGCGGTTGGGTCCGAATGAGACAGCTCGCCCCGCACGAAGGATGGCCCAGAGCCCACCCTAAACCCTAAACCCCTACACCCTAAACCCCTACACCCTACACCCTAAACCCTAAACCCCAAACCCTAAACCCTAAACTTAAACCCTACACCCTAAACCCTAAACCCTAAACCCCAAACCCTAAACCCTAAATCCTAACCCTAAACGCTACAAACCCAAAACCCCTGCCGGTGCCTGGAACTCCTGGTGCTCGGCCTTGCGGTTCTCGCCGGCCTGGGCCACCGACTGGTCCAACTCGGTAAGGCCGGACTGGAGGCTCTGGATCTCCTTGGGTTTGGGGTTTAAGGTTTAGGGTTTAGGGTTTAGGGTTTAGGGGTTGGGGGTTGGGGGTTGGGGGTTGGGGGTTGGGGGTTGGGGCTTAGGGTTTAGGGTTTGGTTTAGGGGTTTGGGGTTTAGGGTTTGGGGTTTAGGGGTTTAGGGGTTAGGGTTTCGGGTTTAGGTTTTGGGGTTTAGGTGTCCTGGGGGCCCAAAGATAGGGATTCTGGTAGCAGGGTAGATGACCCCTTGTCTGACCTTGAGATAGGGACGCAACGGTAGCTATACAGGGGCATGTGATCCCAATTTCTGAGGGGGTTGAAGTGATCCACCCTAAACCCTACAACCCTAAACCCGAGACCCTAAACCCTAAACCCTAAACCCTAAACCCTAGACCCTAAACCCTAAACCCTAAACCCTAAACCCTAAACCCCCCGTAAAGGCTCCGTGACGAGCTGTCCGATGGCGCCCTTGGACTGGGCCACGGTGGCCGACAGCGAGGTGATGGCCGAAGCCGTGGACTTCGTCTTCAGCTCGGCCTCGTGGAACCTGGGGTGTGTTTAGGGTTTAGGGTTTAGGGTTTAGGGTTTAGGGTTTAGGGTTTAGGGTTTAGGGTTTAGGGTTTAGGGTTTAGGGTTTAGGGTTTAGGGTTTAGGGTCAGGGAGTCTAGGGTGTTTGGGGGTTTGGGGGGGCTTTGAACAGTGGACGTTCCTACGGGAGGTTGATATAGGTAGAAAGTAGGGCTTTTGAAATGATATGAACTCCTGGGTTCGGGTGAATATAGGGTTGTCATAGGCCCCATGGAAGTCTAGAAAACTTGTTTCCAAGATCAACACCCCGAGAACTCCTTGCCGCAGTAGTCCTTCTTGCTCTCGTCATCCTTCCTTGGGGGTCCCACATGGGGCGTTTTCCGAAAATGCCGGGGGGGGGGGGGGGGGGAACTTTTTGTGGTCCTCATTATAAGGGGATCCTACTATTTGAAAGATACCAGGGGCCTCCTGAAAAATGGGGATCGCGCCTCTTATGCCCCAACTCCCTACTATGAAGGTCAGATTTTGGGACCGCAAAAGCCCTTGGAGGGGCCCAACTCTTGGCTTTTTCCCCAAGGTTCTGCTCAGTCTTGAGGAGCTGCACCATGCCGTCGATCTTCTTCACGATCCTTAGTTGCCCAGTAACCTGGGGGGAATTCAAGGTTCACCTTTGGGACTATCAGGGGCTTCTAAACCCTAAACCCTAAACCCTGAACCCAAAAAAGGATTAAAGGTTGCCTACTCTACTCCCAGGGATCTTGCTGAAGTCCACCTTCCGGCCGGACAGGGCCAACGCCAGGAAGTTCAGCTCCGGGCGCCCCTCGCGCCGGGCCTACGAAGATCACGTTTTGGACGGTCAGCCTACATAACTCCTGTGGTCTCCACCCCCCCCCCACCCCCACCCCCCCTAAACCCTAAACCCCAAACCCTAAACCACAAACCCTAAAATCCGAAACCCCGAATTTCCCCCAAAACCCGAAACCCCGAATCCCCCCCAAACCCTCCCTCCCCAAGAAACCTTGAGGACCAGCTCCAGAGCTTGGTCCTTCTTATCCTTGGCATCACCTGAGATGGCCCCGGAAACCCTCTGAAAAATATCCCTAAACCCTAAACCCTAAACCCTAAACCCTAAACCCTAAACCCTAAACCCTAAACCCTAACAAGGGAACATAGAAAAATCTCCCAAGAAGGGCCAGCCGAGTCACCCTTCTTAGCCAGCTGCAGGAGGCTCGCAGCCTTGCTCCGGAAGAGGTCCAGGGACTCATCCGAGTCCAGGATCTGTGGGGTTTAGCGGTTTAGGGTTTAGGGTTTGGGTTTGGGGTTTGAGGTTTAGGGTTTAGGGTCTGGGGTTTGGGGTGTGGGGTTTAGGGGTTTAGGGTTTGGGGGTTTAGGGTGCAGGGTTTCGGGTTTTGGGTTTGAGGGTTTAGGGTTTGGGGGTTGGGGGGTTAGGGGCAAGCTGGCGGCTGCCGGATCTCGGGTTTAGGGTGTCAGGGTTGGTTCTGGGATGTTTTGGGCGTAAAGACTTCAGCAACACAGACAAAGACACAAAAGCGACCAAAAAGCAAGGCCCTAAACCCGCCTGAGCCCCCAAACCCTCATAACCTTTTGGGGGGATTACAGGGTTCAACCCCAAACCATAAACCCCAAACCCCATAAGGTTTTGGGGTTTATGAGGTTTATAGGGTTAAACCCTAAACCCTAAACCCTAAACCCTAAACCCTAAACCCCATAAGGTTTATAAGGTTTAGGGCGCTTAGGGCCCCTGACCTTGACGGTCTCCTGCAGGGCAATCAGCTCTTTGCTGCGCGTCTCCTGGCGCTCTTCCCAGGCAGCGGCCTCGGTGCACGGAAGCATCAAACTCAGCGCTTTTGAAGGTCTAGGGTTTAGGGTTTAGGGTTTAGGGTTTAGGTCTTAGGGTTTAGGGTGTAGGGTGTAGGGTTGTTTAGGAGGCTAAGGAAAGGGCAGTGGAGAGCTTCGAGAGACCTCCCCCCATGGCTTCCCACCAAGAGGCTGGTTCTTCAAAAATAATGGAAGTACCTTATAACATCCTTTCCAGGGGGTATATATATATATACATATAGGGCCCCAAATTCCCTTTGGGTCAAACCCTAAACCCTAAACCTTATAAACCCGAAACCCTACACCCTAAAACCGAAACCCTAAACCCTAAATCCTAAACCTTATAAACCCTAAACCTTATAAACCCTAAACCCTAAACCTTATAAACCCTAAACCTTATAAACCCTAAACCTTATAAACCCTAAACCCTAAACCCTGAACCCTAAACCCTAAACCCTAAACTCCAAAGAGGCCTTGGCGTCGCAGGAGCTCTTCAGCTCCGCGAGCATCTTCTTGTCGTCCGCCAGGGACTGGCCCGCGCCCTCCATGGACTTCTTGAGGTTCACCACCTCCACCTTTGGGGGGACCACATGAACCCAAAAAAGGGTTTGTGTTCCTATTTAAGACCCTAGAAGAGGAGTTGTGGGCTCGTATTACCTTATCATAGGAGTTGTAGTAACGTGTCTAGGGGAAACCCTAAACCCTAAACCCTAAACCCTAAACCCTAAACCCTAAACCCTAAACCCTAAACCCTAAACCCTAAACCGGTTTCTTTTTGGGGCTCGTTTGCCAAGGGCACCTTCAGCTCGCCGATGCGCTTCATCTTGCGCTCGAACTGCTCCAGCAGCGTGGAGATCTCCACCTGTGGGGATGCTCCGTGTTTAGGGTTAGGGTTTATAAGGTTTAGGGCTTAGGGTTTAGGGTTTAGGGTTTAGGGTTTGGGGTGTCCAACAGTCCTTAACAGGGCTTCTAATACCCCCGCTTCTAATCCCTACTCAGGACTGTGAGCATAAGGGGGAACATCCCAAGCCTTCTTGGAGCCCTCCAGGTCCTCAAAGGTGTGCACCGCCGCATCCTCGCTCCTTAGTAACCCTAAACCCTAAACCCTAAACCCTAAACCCTAAACCCTAAACCCTAAACCCTAAACCCTAAACCCTAAACCCTAAACCCTTTTTGGTTGGTTACTTTATAAAGGGGACCCAGAACCCAAAAAAGGGAAGAGGCTACCACAGGGCCTACCAAGGCTCTTGTCGTCGGAGACGATCTCCTCCTTGGTGTCGTCGGCCATGCCCCCGAGGATGCCTAGCACGTAGCTGGGGTCCATCCGCTCCCCAGACAGAAAGGACACCTTGGCAACCCAGCAGCCGCATCACCACAAGGGTTTTCCGGAAACCGTGTCACAACCAGGGTCCCCCTTGGGAGACGTTGGCTACTTACATCGCAGAACCTCAGAAACCATCCTAAACCCTAAACCCTAAACCCTAAACCCACCGTGGCGAATGCCAAGACGCCAGGCGCTGCTTCTCCGCAGCGGCCAGGTGCCGATCGGCGGCCCGGAGCATCGGGGCCTTCTGCAACAAGGCCGTGGAGGCGCCTGTCTTGAACTTTGCCAAGGCCAAGGACTCGGATCAAAGGAGGGTTTAGGGTTTCGGGTTTCGGGTTTCGGGTTTAGGGTTTGGGGTTTAGGGTTTAGGGTTTAGGGTTTAGGGTTTAGGGTTTAGGTACCCTAATTACATCCTGACGCAGACGCCCCCTAAACCCCCACCAGCGGCCTGTCTTCAGGGCCTGCTGGGCCTGGGAGATCTGCTCCACCACCTGCGTGTCCTCGAGCCCATGATCAGCCGGCTTGTCTAGTTCATTGTTGGGCTAATATTGAAAATTGATTGTTTTTATTCCTTACTGGGTTTAAGTACCCTTAAAAATTTGCAATGTTACCCAACTATGACAAAGTTGCATCTGCCTATCTTGTCTCATTTTCGCCATATTCTACTATCTTGTGCTATAAACTCTCATTCTTCTATTGTTAATTGTTATGCTTTAACATATTGTACCCGTACTTTGTCCAAGAAACCATATTTCTGCACAGTGCCTCCTTAGAACTTCAGGGGTCCCGTCGAGCTCCGGGCCGTGACAAGGGGGTTTCGATGGGAAGGCGATGCCACTTCAAGGCCTGTTAGGGTTTATTGCCTTAGTGTCTTAGAGTCTTAGGGTCTTGGGGGCTTAGGGTCCAGGGTGTAGGGTTGAGGGTTTGAGGGTTTTAGGGGTTTTAGGGTCTTAGGGGCTTATGGTTTAAGGGTCTTAGGGGCTTAGGGTCTTAGGGGTGTAGGGTTTAGGGTTTTAGGGTTTATGGTCTTAGGGTCTTAGGGTCTTATGGTCAGGGTCGTAGGGTCGTAGGGTCGTAGGGTCGTAGGGTCGTAGGGTCGTAGGGTCGTAGGGTCGTAGGGTCGTAGGGTCGTAGGGTCGTAGGGTCGTAGGGTCTTAGGGTCTTAGGGTGTAGGGTTTAGTGTTTTAGGGCTTCAGGGTTCAGGGTTTAGGGGTCAGGGCCGGAATTGTCGGAGGTTTCGCCCGGTCCTCGGCGTGCTCGTCCATGTAGTGCTCGTGCCTGGGCGAATCTCCGGTGCTTTTAGGGTTTAGGGTTTAGGGTTTAGGAATTTAGCTACTCAAAAGGCCTAGGAAGCCTAAAGATTTCTTCCAAGAAGGACCTGCAGATCAAGCCCCCACATCGATCCACCTTATCTTCGCACTGTTTGAACAGCTGCATAGAAACCCTAAACCCTAAACCCTAAACCCTAAACCCTATGCCCTAAACCCTAAACCCTAAACCCTAAATCCCTAAACCCTTCTTTGAACGACAGCTGGGTGACTCCTTCCCTCGCTGGACTTCCGCAGCTTTCAGCGTGTCCTCCTCCGAGATGCGCTCTTCCTTGAGCTTGGAAACCTGCACTGCGTGGGGTTTAGGGTTTAGGGTTTAGGGCTTAGGGTTTAGGGTTTAGGGTTTAGTGTTGAGGGTTTAGGGTTTAGGGTTTAGTGTTGAGGGTTTAGGGGTTTAGGGTTTAGGGTTTCGGGCTTAGGGTTTCATGCAGCATGGGACTGCGGCTGCAACTATGATGGCCCTTGCAACCCTTCCCGAACATGATCCTGCTAAACCCAATAATCACTGTAATCGTCAGAGTGGTACCAGTGGAAGTGTAGTAGTTTTGGTAGTCGCCGTCATCGCAATCATCGTCGTCGTCGTCGTCGTCGTCGTCGTTGCCATCGTCGACATCGTCGTCGTGGTTGCTGTTGCTTGTTGTTGCTGCCGCTGATGTTGCTGTTGTGGCTGTGCCCGTGGTCGTGGCTGTTGCTGTTGGCTGTTGCTGCTGTTGCTGCAGTTGTTGCAGCTGTTGCAGTTGTTGCAGGTGTTGCTCTTGTTGCTGCTGTTATTGTGTTTATTTCAATAGTCACCGCAACGTCAAAAGCTAGAAGCAATGTCACCACTTCAATAATTACCATAATCCTCATGATCGCCATAACAACCCTCATCACAATAATCATCATCATCATCACCATCATCATCATCGTCATCATCATCATCATCATCATCATCATTAATATTACCGTTATGATTATTACTACTATTGTTACTACTATTGTTACTACTATTGTTACTACTATTGTTACTACTATTGTTACTACTATTGTTACGATTATTACCATTATTTCTATTATTCTTATTGCTATTAGTATTATTATTACTATTATTCCTATTATTACCATTATTACCATTATTACTATCATTACGATTATCATTATTATCATTATTATGGTGATTATGATTATTATGATTCTTATGATTATTATGATTAGTATGATTAGTATGATTGTTATGATTATTATGATTATTATGATTATTATGATTATTATGATTATTATGGTTGTTATGATTATTATGCTTATGATTCTTATTATGAATATCATTATATCATTCAGCAGAGCTCTCGCGCCTCCTGCTCCAGCGAGCTGATCTCGGCCTCTCGCCCCTCGATGTCGGAGGGGGTCACCTCGGCACAGGGAGTGAATCCCTAAACCCCAAACCCTAACCCTAAGCCCTAGACCCTACACCCTAAACCCTAAACCCGGAAGGTACCTGAAAGCCCAAATCCCTAAACCCGGAAGGTAACTGAAAGCCCAAATCCCTAAACCCAGGGCTTCAATGGCTTCTGCAAGGCATTCTCGATTTCATTATACGGTTCGTGTCTAGGCTGCACAGTGGCTAGAGTGTCTTTAGGGCTTATAGTGTTTGGAATGCTTTGTAGGGTACAGGGCACATGGGGCTGACAGGGATCAGGCTGATACGTTCAGGGGCTCTGCAGCTCAGTCGCCGGGTTGTACTCTTGCTGCTGGATGCTGGCCTCCAGTTCTCCGATGGTCTTTTTGCAGTAGCACTTGAACTTGTCGTAGAGGTCCTCCTCGTGCTTGCCCTCTTCCTCGATCTTCTTGCCCATCTTCTCCATCATGGCGACCACCTTTCGAATGGGATTTCCAGCCTCCTCGGCATCAATGCTGTTGAAGCTGCGAGACTTGTAGGCCACACCTGACCCTAACAGGGCCAAGGCCATGCACAGCATTCGTCGGTACTGCATTGCAACAGGGATCAGCGGGCAGCGGCTGCGAAATGGCACAGCGCTGGCTCGAGCTTGATGGACCAAGGTCCAAGCCGCTGATGCTTGAGCCGAGGTCGGATATGGCGACGCATATGCTCGCGACGAACTCATCTAAGCAGCCCACCATCAACCGAGATACACCATCATGTAAAGATTCTGGCTTCTTTACAATGTAGCCTCATGAAATAAATGCTCATCAGGTCCCTCCTCTATTTGCTCCTACCTTTGAGTCTGGGCACCTCTTTGCCAATGCTGAAGCTGTCGGCGGGTCCCGCTCCAGGTCTGTTCCTCGTACTGTGGGCGTAGGGATGTCTGCGGCAAGCTGGGAAACTGCCAGAGGAACCTCCAGCGGACTGTCAGGTCGCAAAAGCCATGAATTGACAACAACAAGGAAGACAGCAACAGCAAGAACACCAAGTACTATCACAATGAGAACTACAAGGGAAGAAGATGCAGAATGCTACCAGCAAAGGCGGTGGCATTTGGGCGTACTTGAGGGGACGCTTCTACTATGATCTGCGTAAGCGCGGAAAGACCGAAGATTTGTGCCCAAGCAGCCAGTAGGACAGGTCGCGCCAGATGAATCGCCGGAGGAACGTGGCATTTGCTTTGGGCAGCGCGTCGCGGTCGCCTCTGTAGCTGGCGTGCCTTCCGGCATACTCGTAGCCGGGATTCTCGAAGAGCTTCTGACTTGTGCCTTACTCCTCCAAGAATTCAGGGGAAAAAATGGCTAAACGGATAAACTTCTTCCTACCCAAAAAGAGGAAACCCCAAAGACAAGCTTACAGTTCAACTCTTTTCTAAGCAGGGGTGCGCTCTCTGCGGCGCTTCGCGGCCCAGTAAACGGTTCGAGCCGAGATCTCCCCGAAGCGGATGTACGGGGAGAGCTCAGACCTAGGATGGCTCTTAAAACCCTTTTAGGGTTTAGGGTTTAGGGTTTAGGGTTTAGGGTCTAGGGCTAAATTAAAACCCTCTGAAAAATCTTCAGCTGAGTATGATCCTCTTAAACCCAACAATTGAAAATACAAAACCTTTTAGGGTCTAGGGCTTGGGGTTTAGGACATTTCTGAATATGATCCTCTTAAACCCAGGAAGGGTAAAAGAAAAAAATATCCTGAGGGCCGACCCTGGAGACGTGTTGCGCTCGTGGCTAAGCAATCGCCGCCGGCCTTCGAAATCGCCCGTAGCCAGGGCTGCCTCCAAGAATTCCGCAAGCCGCTCCTTCGCGGCAACCTCTCCGACCTTCCACCAAGACCTGCCCAGCTGAGGGCTTAGGGTTTAGGGTTTAAGGGTTTAGGGGTTTAAGGGCTTAGGGCTTAGGGTTAAGGGCTTAGGGCTTAGGGCTTAGGGTATAGGGTTAGGGTTCAGGGTTCAGGGTTCAGGGTTTAGGGTTTAGGGTGTACCCTGAACCCTAAACCCTAAACCCTGTTTCCAGGGCTGACTGCTTGCTTGGCCTCCGGGTCTCTTCTCAGGTCTGCTTCGTAAAGTTGGGGCTTTATAGGGCTTAGGGCTTTAGGGTTTTAGGGTTTTAGGGTTTTAGGTTTAGGGTTTAGGGTTTAGGGTTTAGGGTTTAGGGTTTAGGGTTTGGGCCTTAGGGTTTTAGGGTATAGGGTTTTAGGGTTTAGGGATTTAGGGATTTATGAGTTTGGGGTTTAGGGCTTAGGGACTCAGGGTGTTCAAGCTTTCCGGGGCCTTGCAGCATAACCCCGACTTGGCCAGGAATCCAAGACCCAAACCCCCAAACCCCCGAAACGCCCCTTCAACCCCCTAAGGCCCCTGAAACCCCATTTAGGGTTTAGGGTTTAGGGCTTAGGGTTTAGGGTTTAGGCCCAGAGCCGCTTAACCCTAAACCCCAAACCGGCCTGATGCCAGCAGCCCAGTCTCCTTCCTTGTGGCTGGCACTTTGGCGCAACGCCGCGGTGAAGCCACGTCCTGGCAGGGTCCAGGGTTTCGGGTTTAGGGTCTCGGGGTTGAGGGTTTAGGGGCTAGCGGGTTCGGGGGATTAGGGTCTAGGGCTGAGGGTTCTAAGGCTTTGGGGTTTCAGAGAGGCTTGGGGGCATTTCGGATATTTGGACTTTTTGCTTGTGGGCTTTGTCTCGGACTTCGGAAGCTTGTAAGGTTTGGGTCGTTTGGGGTTCATAGGTACTTACAAGTATCTGGTTTTAACTACGTAGGGTAACTATGGTTACAACCCTGTTTGGATGTATAGCTAAGGCTGGAACTAGGGTAACGATGATCCTGGCCTTATTTAGGGCACTTCTTCACGCAGGGTAGGGGTGCAGGGCGCAAGAACCCCTAAACCCTAAACCCTCAACCCTCAACCCTAAACCCCTAAACCCTAAACACTAAACCCCAAACCCTAAACCCCTAAACCCCTAAACCCTAAACCCTAAACCTAAACCCTAAACCCTAAACCCTAAACACGCCTGAGGTCTCGCCCAGGCCCAGGGCGTCTAAGACTTCCGACGCCACGTCCGGGCAACGCGGGATTCGGACCACCGCGCCGCAGGGAAGTGGAGGCGGGCCCAATTCCTTCAAGGGACTCTTAGGGTTTAGGGTTTAGGGTTTAGGGTTTCGGGTTTAGGGTTTTTGCACCCCTAAGCTTGTACCCTTGGGTTTGGGGACCCCTTTTTAAGGATTCTGAAGGGAATCGAAGGGCCATGTTAGAAGTATGTTCAGGGGAATATTTAGGGGAGCCTGAAAAAGCGGCAGCATGATGCTAAAACCCTTCACCCTAAACCCTAAACTTGTAAACCCCAAGGGTGGCAGTTGTAACAAAGATGTGAGGCGACCCTGATCGCTAATTGTCCATCACCACAACCCCACACGGAACACCAAAGAGAGAAGCCGTTTTTCTTGGGGGACCAGATGAACCCTAAAATTTGGGGAGGTTCATACCCTAATCATACTATAATTGAGGGTATATGAACCATAAACCCTTTCAGGCCCCTTTTGGGGGTTTCCGAAAGTAGGGGTACCCTTTTTGGGGGGGTCCCATTACGGGGATTCTACTCATTTTGGGGTTTAAAACGAAAGGGTACCCCTTTTTTGGGGAAACGCCCATTTGGTCCCCAAGGTTTCTTTGGGGAGGTGTAACGAAACCCTAAACCCCTAAACCCGAAACCCGAAACCCTAAACCCTAAACCCGAAACCCTAAACCCTAAACCCGAAACCCTAAACCCTAAACACCTCGTTTCTCTCAGTCCTCCAGGGCATGGGAGAAGAAGCGGTAGCTGCCAAAGCCACTGATGTGCTCCTGCGCTTAGACGGTTTCGGGTTGAGGGTCAAGCTCGTAGGGTTTAGGGTTTAGGGTTTAGGGTTTAGGGTTTAGGGTTTAGGGTTTAGGGTTTAGGGTTTAAATGTTTAGAGCCCCCTGAAACCCGAAACCCCCAACCTCCCCAAGCTCGAAACCCCACTTTCGCCAGGGCCGTCCAGCTGCTTCGGCTTCCCACTGGCTGCCGCAGAGTCTCGCGGCAAGCCCCGCGCCACCGCCTCCTCCGCGCGCACCCTCGCCCGCCACTTCTGCCATCTCTCGATGGGCTGAAGATCCTGCGGGGGGGGGGGGGGGGTGTTGTTTTCTTCCGTAAGAACCCAGGACCTACTTGTTCTATCGGTTCTTACTTGCTACAAGACCCCTTAGTTGCTTTTTAGATCTGAACTTTGTTACAGGACCCCTTACTGGGATTCTCCGGTAGCTTACCAGAAAATCGGCTCGGGGTCTCTGGATCATGACGCGCCGACTGCGGGCGTGATCGCCTCCGAATCACCTGAACCACTATTTGCTTGAGACACCCCCCGAAAAAAATCGTCCTTGGAAGGATTATAATTTGTGTTTTTTCGGGGGGTTCCGTAGGCAGTAGTAGTAGAAGTAGTAGTAGTAGTAGTAGTAGTAGTAGTAGTAGCAGCAGCAGCAGTAGTAGTAATCGTGGGGTGGTGGTAGTGGTGGGCCAGCTGTCCTGAGGCTCGTAGAGGGTGTTGGCGGGGAAGCTCTCAACCTCCACGCCACGGGAACGGAGACTGGCAGCAACCTCCCAAGCACTGGGGGGCATGGGAAGGAGCGAAACCAGCCCAAGGGATTAGGGTTTAGGCTTTAGGGTTTTGGGTATAGGGTAGAGGGTAACCCTAAAGCCTGATTGGCACTTCTCGTCCCTAGACTTGAATCTGAAAGAAACTGAAGCCCGAAACACCCAACCACTAACAACCCTAAACCCTAAACCCTAAATCCCCCAATGATGCCCTCAATTAGGTACCCTTCGGCCCCTGGCGGCACAAATGAATGGGACCCGTGCTAAAGTAGGGTTTAGGGTTTTTAGGGCTTTAGGGTCTAGGTTTTAGGGTTTGGGGGTTTCTAGGGATTTATGTTACCATACACGTTCAGCACAAAGCCGGGAAACCCTAAGCACTGCCCGTGTGGCCTCCGCGTCCGCGCTCTGGCCCAGGGCTCACAGCGGCGGTTTGAAGGCCAACTGCACCCGGGACCCCTGCCGACCCTTGGCACCCAGGCGGTGTCTTTGGGGAAACGGCTCGGGGGCGTGGGGCTTGGGGTTTAGGGGGGTTTAGGTGTGATTAGGGTTTAGGGTTTAGGGTCTAGGGTTTAGGGTTCAGGGTTCAGGGCTTCGGCTTCGGGTTTAGGCGTTATCAGGGTGTAGGGCTTAGGGTTTAGGGTGGCAGCCTAAGCATGGGAACGCCTTACACACCCCTGTATATATCCTATCACATCCCAGGGCCCATGCTTCCGAACCCTTTAAAGCAGGGCTTAGGGCTTAGGGCTTAGGGCTTAGGGTTTAGGGTTTAGGGTTTGGGGTTTAGGGTTTAGGGTTTAGGGTTTGGGGTTTAGAGATTTTCAGAATTGAGGGGGGTTGTAGGTTAGGGTTTGAGGTTCTGAAACCGCCGCAAACCACAGCACCCTCCACCCCACACCCCCAGAACTCTGCCGGCGCACTCCCAACAGACCCAACTCCTTGAGCAGCTTCTGAATCTCCTGGGGGCAGAGTTTAGGGTTAGGGTTTAGGGTTTAGGGCTTAGGGTTTAGGGTTTCGGGTTCGGGTTTAGACAAAGTCCCATTCTGGTAGAGTCGGTTCATCAGGCAGGAAGCAGTCGAATTTCTGTGGGCGTGCGACACTTCACCGGAGTGCGAAGGAGACTTTGCTTAGCATGCGCAGCCGGTCCTACAGCCAAGATTCCGAATGCATGGAGGAATCAGGGAAGGAATAAGGAACGACCCTAAACCCTAAACTCTAAACCCTAAACCCTAAACCCTTAAACCCTAGGTGCGAGGAGGAATCAAGAGGGAAGCAAGAATAAGGAGCCTCGGAGAGCAAGAGAATTGTGAAAGGCTCTCAGACGTTGACGCGCGCTGGCCCTCACCCAGAGTCGCCTACAAGCCCGGCAAAACCCGTAAACCCTGAACCCTAAACCCCCCTAAACCCCCTAACCCCCCTAAACCCCCTAAACCCCCTAAACCCCCTAAACCCCCTAAACCCCCTAAACCCCCTAAACCCCCTAAACCCCCTAAACCCTAAACCGGTCCTCTGCGGCATCCCCGCGGCGAAAGACCTTGCTCCACATGTGCACTTAAGCCGCGCACCATTCTACTTGAAGCACCGTTTGGGGTTTAGGGTTTAGGGTTTTGGGTGCCATTCTACTTGAAGGTTCAGGGGTACTTGTCAGAAGGGTTGTAAGTGCCCTCAATAAGGTCCATGGTTACGATAGTTGTAGCCTTTTTACTTGTGTAGCCTTCCTTTAACGTACCCATGAACCTCCAAGTAAGACTATAGGATTCTTAGGTAGCCTGCAAATACAAATATCCGATTTTGAGGTTCTTAAGGGTAAGGAGTCGGACAGATCTCCCGTCTTGCTCCAGGCCCTAGCTCTGTGCTTAGGCTCTTTAGGGTCTAGGGTTTGGGGTCTTGAGTTTGGGGTTTAGGGCTTGGAACAGCGTCTAGGGAAAGTCAAGGGCCGAGCCTAAGACAGTATAGCAAGGAGTCGCCTAAGCCTCGATCTGTGCGGCAGGCTTTTGCCTGCCGACTCAGCCCTCACAAATCCTTGCAACCGCCACCATCTCACCAGTATCAACAGCCTTCAGACAACAGGACGCACATGCTATACTTGGGGTGGCTAATCTCATTTGTGACCCCTTCTGGGGTACCCTTGAATAAGGGAATATACGGGCTACAATAGCCTCAGCAAAGGACCCATGCGTCAGACCTCCACATCTTCTGTACAGGAAGCAGGCCTATAGGCTCTGCGATGCCTGAGAAGTTATGCCCCGCGCCCAAGGGGCACAGGAACCCTAAACCCCAAACCCCAAAAACAAACCATAAACCCAAACCACTCATACCCAAACCCCAAACCTCAAAAGAACACCAAAACCCAAACAACCCCATGTATCCCTAGACCCTAAACCCTAAACCCTAAACCCTAAACCCTAACCATAAACCTAAACCCCTAAACCCTAAAACCCCCAAACACTGCACAGCCGCATCGGGAAGCCAAGGCGCCAGGCGACTGCCCAGTCGGGAGAGCGTGTGGGCGAAGACTCGAAGGGACTGGTGCTTCCTTGAGGGTTTAGGGTTTAGGGTTTAGGGTTTGGGGTTTGGGGCTCAGGGCTTAGGAGTTTCAGAGGTCGGTTGGGGTTTGGGGGTTTGGGTTTTGTTCAGGTTGTTTTGGAGGGTTTAGGATTCATCGGGAATAGGGCATCTCTTTAAAGCCGATTCTCCCCTGCCCATACTTGTACTAGGTGCCTGTGCCTCGCCCTAGGAGGGCTCTCGTGTCTCGGTCTTTGGGGTTGAGCTTTCGCGGTTTAGGGTTTAGGGTTTAGGGTTTAGGGTTACGGGGTTCAGGGCAGATGTACAAGGGCCATATTCAGTAGACCTTTCTTTTTCCAGCATCCCAAAGAGGACACCCCGTCTGGACACCCACCATGACTTTCTAAGGAAGCATAAATGTTTAGGGTTTAGGGTTTAGGGTTTAGGGTTTAGGGTTTAGGGTTTAGGGTTTAGGGTTTAGGGTTTAGGGATACAGTCCCCACTAGCCGTCACCAGCAGTATGATGGACCCTGCTTCACGACGTACAGGCCCAGTCGCTGAGTGTGGCCTGGCATCAGAAGAGTCGGTACAGGAAGATAAGCCCCTCAAGAGCACCTTCACCTCTCTGCAGGTGGTTTCCCCAAACCCTAAACCCCTAAACCCCTAAACCCCTAAACCCCTAAACCCCTAAACCCTAAACCCCTAAACCCTCAAACCCCTAAAGCCCTAAACCCCTAAACCCTAAACTCTAAACCCTAAACCCTAAACCCCTAAACCCTCAAACCCCTAAACCCCTACACCCCTAAACCCCTGAACCCTAAACCCCTAAACCCCTAAACCCCTAAACCCCTAAACCCCTACACCCCTAAACCCCTACACCCCTAAACCCCTAAACCCCTAAACCCCTAAACCCCTAAACCCCTAAACCCCTAAACCCCTAAACCCCTAAACCCCTAAACCCCTAAACCCCTAAACCCCTACACCCCTAAACCCCTAAACCCTAAACCCCGAAACCCCTAAACCCTCAAACCCCTAAACCCCCCTAAACGCAGCACGGCTCCAGAAGCGGCCGGCCCCGCGAAGTGGGTGAGAGCTCTCTGGTTCCAAGATGTACCTAGACTGAACTTGGAACCCTGGCAAAAATCAGAATCTTCGCTGTTTCTTGGTACACATAGGAATGAGAATTTGCACCTAAAAACAACAAAAAATAGAATTTTAGCTGTTTCCTAGGAATTAATAGTACCCCAAAACCAAAAAAAAAACATATTCCCAAGTATCCCTGAGGAACAGGGGTAGGACCGCATCGAACCCGCCCTGCGCTGCGTGGAACAGGGCCGGGTTGTCCTCGCAGTCGCATGACGTGACGAACGGCAGGGCCTTACGATACCCCCCCCCCCCCAACAAAGTAGGGCCCCTTCTATCATCCGTAGAAAAAAAGTGCCCTTTTGGGCTTCAAGGGGATTATAAGGGGAGCCCACTACACCCTAACACAAAAAGGGGTTGCCACGGCCTACTCTACACAAGGTCTTAGGGTAAGGTACCCCCGAATTTCGGAAACACCCCCATCGACCCGAGAGGCCATGGCCCTTTCTTTAACTTTAAGGAATACTGCCTTCAAAAGCTATATAGAGATCCCTAATATAGGGATCCTTAGTATGATCTAAGGAACGATAATAGAGATCCCTATATAGGGATCCTTAGTATGATTTAAGGAACGATAATAGAGATCCCTATATAGGGATCCTTAGTATGATTTAAGGAACTATATAGAGATCCCTATATAGGGATCCTTAGTATGATCTAAGGCATATTCCTTTATTTTAGGGGGTATCGGGCTCTTTGGGGAGTCTGGGACAGCGTAGAGGAGGAAAGGAAGCCAGACACTCCTTGCGGCTTTCTGCGTTTAAGGGTTTGGGGTTTGGGGGTTAGGGCTTAGGGTTTAGGGTTTGGGATTCGGGGTTTAGAGTTTAGGGTTTAGGGTTTAGGGTTTAGGGTTTAGGGTTTAGGGTTTAGGGTTTAGGGTTTAGGGTTTAGGCGTGCCAAGGCACGCCGGACAAAAACTTTCGAGGACAGCACCCCTGACACGCCGGATCCTGGGGACGTTGACACGTGACCTCGAAATGGGAGCCCACATGTTGGGTTGAACACCATTGGCACTAAAGATCATCGTATACGACTTGCGAGATGGGATCGGACCCCTTTGCCAAGGTCCTCAAGGCGCATGTCGTCGCGCAGCCAGACGATGCAAAGGCTCTTCACCTGGGCCTGCGCAAGAAATGCAACATCACTTCAACGTTAGATACTTGACAGCCAAGTCACCATCTCACAAAAGGGCAATTACCCTTGTTGGGCTGGTTGCTTTATAGAAGGGAACCCAGAATCAAAAAACGGGTAAAGGGTACCGCGGGCTACCAAGAATAAGAACAGGAAGAGCACCCGCCCGTCCTGTGGCCGAGTTCCCTTCGCGGCGACCGGCCCCTTGCCAGGTGCCGCTGGCATGGCTGGCGGCATAGCCTCCGGCTCCTGCGGGTAGAAGGCACCTTTTCGCCCCTGTCTCACTTGCCCTCAACGTGCCGTGATTGTGGCATCCCCATGCCCCAAGTCCTCCCGTTGTGGGTAGCCCGAGCCCGCAATGAGCGCGCCAGCTGAACACTTCTGGTCGCTGGTGCCCTGGTGCAGGTCAGCAGGCAAGGCTTCGCAAATGGAAAACAAAGAAAACGCCACGGGGCCTGCTGTGTCGAAGCAGCTCGCCGCCAGCGCGATCGCCGGGCGGGGCCGGCAGTGTCAGATGAAGCCGGCGTTGCAGAAGCTGTGGAAGCGTCTTCTCTCGCTGCAGTCGCCGCAGCCGCCGCAGCCGCCGTGGCCGCCGTGGCCGCCGTGGCCTCCGTAGCCGCCACCGGCGCCACCCGCTCCACGCAGACCATGCGCTGACCCTGGGTATCCGGGTCGGCACGGGAGGTCTTGGAGAGACCGGGAACGCGATGGGCCACGGAGTGCACCAGCGCCCTTTCCTCCTGCATCCGTGGACATGCAGTGCACACCCCAAACCTCTCTCGGATGAGCACTGCTGGCCTTGCCCAAACCTCGGAAGGACACCCGCGCGCCCACCGCAAGCCCTTCCAGCAGCCTCGTCACCACCTGCAGCGGTCTCAGAGGGGTGCAGTTGCTTGGGGTTTGGGGCAAAACCAGCGAGCCTGCATGCTCATGCCGGCAGACAGATCCTCGGAGACAGCTTGTGGGGTAGAGGCATGGTCTTACCCCAAAGAGTCAAAGAGCACTATAATCCTTACTCAAGGAATATACCTTGGATCACACTAAGAATTCTAGTTTATTGTATGTTCCTTAAAAACGGGGTATCCTCCTTCTTGGTGTCAGGGCTCGGCACTGGGCCAGTGCTCACTCTCCTGGGCAGACGAAGAGGCCGCCCTCCAACCCAGCCGCTCCTGTTCGCTGCAAGCAAACTCGACACTCAGGCTTTCTTGCCGGAATTGTTTTAGGTTTTAGGTGTCAGGGTTTAGGGTTTAGGGTTTAGGCCTTAGGGTTTAGGGTTTAGGGTTTAGGGTTTACTTCATGAGGTCCGTTGAGATGCCGGGTGGGTCGGCCCTGCCCGCTCCTTCCGCTGCCGCCTCGCCTCATCCAGATACTTCCCCGCGGGATCCTCTGCATCTACGTTTAGGGTTTAGGGTTTAGGGTTTAGGGTATAGGGTTTAGGGTTTAGGGTTTAGGGTTTAGGGTCTAGGGTTTAGGGTTTAGGGTTTAGGGTTTAGGGTTTAGGGTTTAGGGTTTAGGGTTTAGGGTTTTGAGCACCCCTCAAGAACTACCTACTTGGAGGTTCATGGTACATATTTACCATTTTGTATTTCTGTACATACTAACCCACTTATCAGCCCCCCAAAGTGCCCTAATAGGGTTCTGAGTACAGGTATAAGTACAGTTATAATTGCTCAGTGAGTACCATGAACCTCCAACTAAACCCTAAACCCTAAACCCTAAACCCCAAACCCCAAACCCTAAAGCCTGAACCCTAAACCCTAAACCCTAAACCCCAAACCCCAAACCCCAAGCCCTAAACCCTGAACCGCACCACGCTGGGGCCATGAGAGGCATTGTGTTGGGGGCACCCCCGAGCAGTCCTTCTCCAGGGCCCCGAGCTCCTTCCCGTAGCGGCCCATGGCACAGGGTCACAGGACCCCATCCGAACCTCCCTTTGCTTTTTGAGCCCTAAACCCTACACCCTAAAGCCCTAAACCCCTAAAGCCCTGAACCCTAAACCCTAAACGCTAAACCCTAAACCCTGAACCCTAAACACCCTATAAACCCTATAAACCCTAAACCCTAAACCCCAGGGCAGCAACGGATCCGGTGTGATGAAGCCAAGGAATCCAGCAAGTCACCGCAGCTCATGGGATTCTCCCTCCTCCACCGTGACACTGAAGAGGGGAGCCTGCAGGCTGACGCTTGTTGATTATTTTTTTTTTGAGGGGGGGGGGGGGGGGTCTAGGGTTTAGGGTTCGGGGTTTAGGGGTTTGGGGTTAGGGTTAGGGTTTAGGTGGGGTTTGGGTTTAGGTTTAGGTTTTTTTTTTTTTTTTGGGGGGGGGGGGAGGAGAGGCGAGCACAAGCGGCAAGTGACTGCATGAGAGACGCCTCCTCAGGCTCGCAAGGAGAAGCCATGGCATGGCAGCTGGGTTGAGGGTTTAGGGTTTCGGGTTTAGGGTTTAGGGTTTCGGGTTTAGGGTTTAGGGCTTCGGGTTTAGGGTTTCGGGTTTAGGGCTTCGGGTTTAGGGTTTCGGGTTTAGGGCAAAGCTGGACAAAAAGTGCGGCTGGAAGGAGGGTCTCACTGGGCCATTGGTCATTAGACATCATCGGACCATGCTCGGGTTTTCTATGCACCTGCTCTACATGCTCTTGTCAGCCAGAAACCTGCGCCTGCACGTCACGTTGGGCCCATGAAATACGGAGTCGGCAGGAGTACACGAGTTTGGTGCCTCTCGCATGCCCGGCCTTGTTTCCAAAGAGGACGTACGTGGTTGTACCCTGTGGACCTGGACGAGGGCACAGCAGAGCTTGGGACAATGCACGCATCTAAGGGTAGTTACGTGGTCCCCTAGTATGGGCAGGGGACCCCTTACATTCCCCTTATATACCCTATACAACCCAAGGGCTCCCTACACCAGAACCCTGAACCCTAAACCCTAAACCCTAAACCCTGAACCCTAAACCCTAAACCCTAAAACCATGTAACTGCCCTTAGAAGGTTCCAAGGCAGCGGCAGCTGTCAAAGAGCTCGTGCAGAAACTTATTGTCGTAGGTGCCGTGGGTCTGCCCTGGGAAGCAACTGTGGCCGTGCAGAACCCCCCCCCCCCGTATAGGGTTTCGGGTTTAGGGTTTGGGGTTTGGGGTTTAAGGTTTAGGGTTTAGGGTTCAGGGTAAAGGCCTCAACAACGCGATCCCAAAGAAACCCCGAAAGACAATCGCACTCGTTGCCCTTCTAGACGCCCCATCTGACACCCTGACTATACACCTTACGACACCCATGTTACACCTGACTGCAATATGCCCATAGAAACCTCCGCAATTCTGGGCAGCCCTACCTGATCGCTTCATCCACTTGGACAACACCAGACAATCTTATTACCACTTAAACCCCTGATCCCGAAACCCCAAACCCCAAACCCTAAAACCCAAACTCCTAACAAAAAAACACCCTAAACCCGTGAAAAACACCCTAAACCCCTAAACCCCTAAAACCCCAAACCCCTTAAAATCCTAAACCCTGAAACCCTAAACCCCTAAACCCCTAAACCCCTAAACCCCTAAACCCGTCAGGCCCCCAGGCCGTCCGGACCGAAGAGCCGGCAGAAGCAGAAGTTCGTGGTCTGGACACGGTCCGTCCAACCACTGGGCCTCTGGGTGAGCTGCGCTCTCGAATACGAGCTGTACGGGTTTAAGTGGGGTTTAGGGTTTAGGGTTTAGGGTTTAGGGTTTAGGGTTTAGGGTTCGGGGTTTGGGGTTTAGGGCTTCCAGCATGTGTAATATGAGATCTAGATCTAGATAGCTATATAAGCTAGCATGGCCCTTAAAACCCTCGGAAACATGTTCCTGAACATGATCCTCTTAAACACAACAGGGGAAAAATAAACAATCAGGCCTACCGAGAACCCTAAACCCTAAACCCTAAACCCTAACCCCTAAATCCTAAACCCTAAAAACCCTAAACCCTAAGGAATCTTCAGGTTTCGGGTTCAGGGCGACCTTCCTTAACCCCCCGGGGCTGCTGCAGATTCGAAGCCCATCCACCCCTTAGCCGGGGCCACACTTCAGGCATGGTGTTTGAGGGTTCAGGGTTTAGGGTTTGGGGTTTAGGGTTTAGGTTTTAGGGTTTAGGGTTTAGAGTTTAGGGTGGGGTCTGGACATTGGGACCCGGCCCCAAGAAGGATCGGGGGGCCCACACAGTGCAGGGTCCAGTGGACATCCCCATCACGTTTTGGCCCACATTGACCCCACAAGATACGTGCCAAGTGCACTGCGGCCCCGTCAAAGCCCCAAACCCCAAACCCCAAACCCTAAACCCTAAAACCTATACCGCTCTTCTTCCCAGCATGCCCAATGCCGACCAGGGGGCGCATTGTTCAGATGAAGCCACGCGAGGCACCACTTCCTGGCCCTGCCAAAAAGCGACCCAACTCGTGGAGTCAAACCCCTCTTTTGCCTCCTAACCCTAAATCCTAAACCCTAAACCCTAAACCCTAAACCCGAAACCCGAAACCCTAAACCCTAAACCCTGGCCCAAAGGGCAAATCCGGTTTAGGGTTTAGGGTGCGCAGGGCTTCACAACCCGTCGCAAGCTGGCGCAACCTACTATAGGGGGCCTTAATCATTAGAATAGGGTTTTGGAGGTTCTGATAGTATAAGTATACAGGAATCCTAAGGGAATACGATTAGTCATTCTTCCGACCCCCATATTACACGGGCGAAAAAAGGAGGAAGGCACGATCTCCATCCCCATGGTCGCCGCTTTTCAATCCTAAAACCGTACCGCTCAGGGTCGGGGGCTGCCCCCTAAACCCTAAACTCCTAAACCCGAAGCCCTGAACCTGAAAAGCCCTAAGACCCTAAGACCCTAAACTCCTTAAAAAAAAACTAAACCCCTATAAACCTTAAAAGCCCTAAGACCCTAAACCCTAAACACCTAAAAAAAACCTTAAACCCCCTATAAGCCTTAAAAGCCCTAAAAACCCTGAACCCCTGGTAGCCCAACCATCGCGGCCTGAGAAAGTCGTAAACATCCTCGCGGTACCAACTGCCGTCCCGGAAGTCCACGATGTGACGGGCCTGGCAGTTTAGGGTTTAGGGTTTAGGGTTTAGGGCTTAGGGCTTGGGGTTTGGGGTTTGGGGCTCAGGGGTTTAGAGTTCAGGGCTAAGAGGTTTCGGGTTTAGGTTTTAGAGGTTTAGAGGTTTAGGGTGTGGGGCTTGGGGTTTAGGACCCCGTTCGGCCCTTCAGTCCCACCAGAAGTCAGGGAAAGGCCAGAAAAAATGCCCGAAACTAGGATCACCATCGATCATCTTGTTCGTGGTACAGGCAGCATCCCTGTAGGGGTTCCCAACAGAAAACATGCTTCCTCTGCAAACAAGCTAAAAGAGGAAGACGTCTTTGTATCAGATGTGTCTGCAAGTCCGGGTTAAAGAGGGGGGTGAAGTCGGCGCCTGGACGAGCAAGGGCTAGAGTCTACGTTGAAAGCTCCCTCAGCCCCAAACCCTAAACCCTAACCCGAAACCTAAGCCCTAAACCCGAAACGGTTTAGGTTTGACGGTTCGGGCGTGGCCTTTGAAGGCTGGAAGGAATGTCGCCTAGGTGGCGGTGCCATAGTTTCGACCTAATCAGGCTACACCCCCTAACCCGACACCCTTACTATTTCAGGGTTTTAGGGTTTAGGGTCTAGGGCTCAGGGTTTAGGGTTTAGGGTTTAGGGCTTGGGGGTTTAAAGAGGATTAAGTTCCCGCTTGCCTGGGAGCACTCCTGCACACCCGCGCCTTGGCAACGCCGCTGCCCTCCTGGGCCAAGAAGTCCACGAGCCTCTCAAACCTCAAGGATCAGGGTTCAGGGTTGAGGGCTCAGGGTTTAGGGTTTAAAGTTTAGGGTTTAGGGTTAGGGTTTAGGGTTTAGGGGTTTAGGGTTTAGAGTTTAGGGCTCAGGATTCAGGGCTTCGGGTGGTTTCAAGGTTTGGAGTGCGCCTGCACAGCTCTTTAGGCGGTCGCCTGAGCGGGCCTCCACTTTGCCTAAGGGAGCCTCGTTGCCCTGACTCTTGGGATGTTCCCCCCCTATATAAGGACTCCTCAATAGGGCTTTCGATTAGGGGGTACTATAATCCCTCTTAAGGACTGTGACAACAAGGGGGAACATCTCAACCTGACTCTGTGAAGTTGCATCTGTGAAGTTTCGAGAGTGCGAGAGGAGCGGTCTGCTAGGAGTCTCAGGCGACGACCTTTGGTACAGCTCGTGGCTGTAGACGAAGCTGGGCGGAAACCTGTCAGACTTGAGCCGGCCTTGTCTGACTGTGCCTTAGGGTTTAGGGTTTAGGGTTTAGGGTTTAGGGTTTAGGGTTTAGGGTTTAGGGTTTAGGGTTTAGGGTTTAGGGTTTAGTTCGAAATGCCGCGTGCCACGCACCTGTTCCTGCGCTGTGCCCGTTGCATTCCAGACGGACAACCGGCGGCCCAAGAAACAGCAAGCCCAGGCAAGCCCAGTTAGCCAAGATCCACGCGCGCACACGCGCACAGAGTCGCTCGCTCGCTCAAGAACGACATTCCATGATTCATGAGCATGGAGCCCCAAACCATAAAACCCTAAGCCCTAAACCATAGAACCCCCAACACCCCAAAAACCCACAAGCCATGCACCAGGGACAGGAAACTCAGTGCGCAGCTGCCACAAGAACGCGACGGTGGCAGGTGCCAGGTACTGGTATTTCTCCTTAGGCCCCAGGAAAAAGTCGCAGAAGGCAATGGCCAAACACAAAAGTCCCACACAAGAACCCTCAGCTCCATTTTCCTCTTGCTTTGAGGCCTCTTCGCGCGACCGGAACCAGCCCGGGGTGCACCCAAGGCAATCGCCAAGGTGCCACGAGCGTCGCACGCAAAAATTCCGATGGAAGGAAGTGCCAAAACACTCCCTCATAACACGGTGATCTGGATCTTGCTTGTGTGTGTGTGAGTTGCAGTCACCTTGCCCGTGTTTGGCGTGAAGCTCTCCATGAGATCCACATCTGCCCCGCAAGGCATGCATATAACGAATGGAAAGACGCGCAGGTAGAAGATTCGTCAAGAAAACAAGAACTTCTCAGCTTGAGCTTTGCGACACTCCCACGACATACCCAAGTCTTCCTGTGCACGTCCACCAAATAGCTCCGATAGGCCAGACAAGCTAGCCGCTCGTGCCAAGGAAAATCCAAAGCGGATCGGTTTTGGGCTTCGGGGCTTGAGGGCACGACCTAAGACCTAGCACAACCTACATCCTACACTCTTGCTGGTCTTTGCCAGCACAAGACAGCCCGTCCGACTGTGAAAGCGAGACGGTCGCCATCCGCAGCCCCCCATCTCCAGGATCACATAGTGCTACAAAGGGCATACCTCACAAGCTTGTGGGCTTACGAGTGTGCCGAGGATGCCAGGGTCCAGGGAAGCAGAGGCAGCAGCAAGGTGCATCGCACTTCGTGCCTGATCAACGGGCGGTGATGGTGATGACGATGATGGTGGTCATGATGACGGTTCTGGTGATGACGATGACGATGATGGTGATGACGATGATGGTGGCGGTAGTGGCGGATGACGATGATGGTGGTGGTGCTGATGGTGATACGGATGGTGATGCTAATGGTGATGGCGGTGATCATGGTGCTGGTGGTGACGATGATGGTGCTGATGTTGATGGTCATGGAGATGACGACGATGGTGGTGATGGTGATGGATGGTGATGGGATGGTGATGACGATGATGATGGGGATAGCAGTAATAACAGCAATGGCAGGTGGTGACGAAGATGAAAGCCACGTTGGCAACTAACCGGAGAAACGAAATCGAAATCGGGCTCCGAGGGCCAAACGCGGGCGTCTTCAGTTCCGTCTTCAAGGGCAAAGAAGCAACGTCGTGATCATTTAGGGTTTAGGGTTCAAGGGCTAGGATCACCCACATAAAGGCCACGCCACAAATGGATGAATGGTCTCTGAGACTGCGGCTCCTGGACGGGCGGGACATGCAGCCGGCTGCTGCCATCAGGGAGAACGTCGAAGGTCGCGCCGCGCTTCCTGGTATGGTTTAGGGGTTTAGGGTTTAGGGTTTAGGGTATAGGGCTTAGGGCTTAGGGTTTAGGATTTAGGATTTAGGGGTTAGGGTTTAGGGTTTCGGTTTTAGGGATTAATTAGGCAGGCAGTAGGCAAGCTATGTAGCACACACGGTATCCTCGCCCAAACTTGATTTACCGCAAAAAGGGGTTGATGGTAAACCCTAAACACGAAATCCTAAACCCCACACCCGATGATAAGGGACCCCTAATCTAGACCCCCCGAAAAGTAGGATCCCCCCCCCAACATCGTAAACCCCCATTGGCTATCTTAGGATGGTACCTCAATATATCTGATTCCGGCAACTATATAGCTACTTTCTGAAGTTCCTGCGTCAAGAGCCCAAAGCCAATGTTTTTTGCAGGATGCTACTATCAAGTCCCCTTTTGGCGGATTCTTAGACAACCTACCCAAAGGGGCCTGAACCCGAAACCCGAAAACCCGAAACCCGAAACCCTAAACCCTAAACCCTAAACCCTAAGCCCAATCAAGAGACATCGTATTCGATCTTGGGAGGCGAGACCGAGTTCCGGGCTGGAGCTCGGAGAGGGCGCAGAAATACCTTGGGTCAGATGGGCCTTCAGCCTGTGCAAACTATTTTTGAGTAGATTCCTTTATCAAGAAAGAAGGGAAATTTAAAATGATCCCCAAGCACAACCCAGTTTTGGGGGTTTTGGGGGTTTGGGTTTTCGGGTTTAGGGGCTCCGGGTTTCGGGCTTCTGGCCTCGGGGTTTTTCGGGTTTCGGGGTTCCGGGTTTGGGGTTTCGGGTTTAGGGCTTAGGGCTTAGGGTTTAGGGTTTAGGGTTTAGGGTTTAGGGTTTAGGGTTTAGGGGACGGCACCTGGAGGTGCTCAAGGCAACTCGCGAAAGAGAGCTCTGCCGCCCAGGCGCAAGTCGCTGTCGCTCCGATTGGCTCTCCTGGTTTAGGGTTTAGGGTTTAGGGTTTCGGGTTTAGGGTTTAGGGTATAGGGTATAGGGTTTAGGGTTTAGGGTTTAGGGTTTAGGGTTTAGGGTTTAGGGTTTAGGGTTTAGGGTTTAGGGTTTAGGGTTTAGGGAACCATGGTACGCAAGCAGCCTAGGATATCCGAAAGGCATGCCAAGGCACCTCATGCAAGCGCAGAGAGTCAGGCAGGTGCAGCAGTCACCTGAGACAGGCTGGGCGGCGTGGAGTTCCTCTTGCATTCCTAAACCCTAAACCCTAAACCCTAAACCCTAAACCCTAAATCCTAAACCCTAAACCCTAAACCCTTTCCTGTCAATTCCTGTCAGGATGCAGGTGCAGCGCATCATACCGATGGCGGAGACGATGAGGACCTGAGGAGGTCGAGGAGACATCTCAAACCACAAAACGTCTACTCAGTATACGAGTACCCCCACTCCCTTCTAAGCTTCCAGCCACAAGGCTTAGAGCGGCCACGCCTGCGCAAAGCAAGTCGATCCCACACCACTCTCCCGTCATTCTCAAAAAGAGGTGCAAGATTAACTCTAAACTTGGGATGTTCCCCCTTCTACTAACAATCCTTAATAGGGACTGTAGTACCCCCTGTTATCATCATAATCCCTAGTAAGGACGGTTCGAAAAAGTGGGAACATCCCAACCCTAAACCCTAAACCCTAAACCCTTAACCCTAGACCCCTAAACCCTAAACCCTAAACCCGAATCCCGGGGAAAAAAAAGCGTAGCCTCCCAGGACAATGCTGCCCGGCTGGATCCAAGAGATCTGTACCATCTTCTGCAGCTTGTCCCCCTGCGCCGCACTTGAGTCCTGAGCCTACACATGCCGAAACCCTGACGTATGGGGGGTCGGTTTAGGGTTTAGGGTTTAGGGTTTGGGGTTTGGGGTTTAGGGTTTAGGGTTTAGGGTTTAGGGTTTAGGGTTTAGGGTTTAGGGTTTAGGGTTTAGGGTTTAGGGAAACCTTTCTCCCCCCAAGCCCCCAAACAAAGCCCTAACCCTAAACCCATGCTGCCAGCCTTGGTCTTCACCAGGTCCTGCAAAGGAGGGGTGAGAACTCAGAGCGGAACCCCAAACCCTAAACCCTAAACCCTAAACCCCAAACACCAAACCCCAACCCTAAACCCCAAACCCTAAACCCCTGGGTTGACCTTGCCTCGGGCAGGGCGTTGATAAGCTTGTTCCGATAGCAGGAGTTCAGCTCCTTCCAGGAATTGCGAAGTTGAGGGTTGAGGGACTAGGGTTTAGGGTGTAGGGTTTAGGGTTTGGGGTTCAGGGGGTTCAGGCGGTTCAGGGGGTTCAGGGGGTTCAGGGGGTTTGGGGGGTTTAGGGGGTTTGGGCGGTTTAGGGGTTTTGGGGTCTAAGGGCCTTAGGTGTCTTGCGGGCTTTACGGGTTTCGGGTTCAGGGGTTTAGGGCTTAGGGGTTTAGGGGTTTACGGGCTTGGGTTTCAGGGCTTCGTGTTTAGGATTTTGGGGCCTTTGTGTTGACAGGGGTTCTAGGGGCGTATGGGGTTATATGGGCTTAAAGGGGTTCATGGCGTTCACAAGGTTCATCAGGCTCCATAAGACGTTTACATGAACTCATTGGGTTCACAAGGGTGCAGGGAGGTTCATAAGGTTACAGGGGCTTGCACGGGGTTTGAAAGGGTTCATGGGGGTTTGCAAGGGTTCATAGGGGTACTGGGCTAATACAGGGGCCTGAATAATTAGAATAGGGTTTTGGAGGTTCTTATCTTATAATTTAATAACAAAGGAACCACAAGGGAATACTATTCGTAACTATTCCGACCGCCCTAAACCCTAAACTAAACCCTAAACCCTAAACCCTGAACCCTAAACCCTAAACCCTAAACCCTAAACCCTAAACCCTGAACCCTAAACCCTAAACCCTAAACCCTAAACCTATATTATGTGGGTTTCCAGGGTGTATGGGCGTTTTTGGGTGCGGCAAAGCGAAGGCGGGGCCTCCCGCTTGCTCAACTTGGCGACCTCCACATCATACAATGCCTCAGCAACCCGAAGTCCAAGAGCCTATTTTGAAGGGCCAAGACATCTTGCATGTGGACATGTTAAACAAATTCCCAAGTGCATGAGTGAAAGCCCTCCGAGTGACTCAGTAGCTTCCGCACTACTTGTGAGCAAGCAGAAGCAAAACCCGCGAGCAGAAGGCCCGGCCGAAACGAAAACGAAGGTGCATACTACAGCGCTCGGTTTAAGCGAGCTGGGAACAGGGCGTCAGGAGTCAGGGGATGCGTCAGAAGAGCAACCCCCAATGCACTCAGCCGCATTCTCATGTGCGCAGAGCTCCGCCGACTGCTTGGTACTTTTGGGCACGGCGCAGAAGCGTCGCTACCCTGCCCAGAACGGCGCAGGCCGTTTCAAGCTCCACAGTGTCCAAGCCAGACCCATCAGGGGTCATCCAGACCAGCGGTGGGTTCGCCGCTGATGGGCGCACGCCTCAACACTGCGCGTGCGTTCTCTCGCTGGAGAGTGACTGCCAAAGCCTGGAAGAGCCGGTCCGCTTCAACAGAAGCCGCCTCTCCAGACCTGGCTGCCACCGCCCGAGCGAGGTCCTGCCAAGCGCGCAGCGCCGAGGGTGCCCAGCCCCCATTGGACTCAACCACCAAGGGCACGAACTGAATGCCCTGCTGTTCGCAGAGGCGCTGAGTGTCCAGGTGCGAC